CTTATTATGCCCTTTTTCTTTTCTTCAAGTATAATGAAAAAGTAGCTCTGGCTTGATGCAGATCAAAATTACTTGTGATGTAGCAAAAAAGATGCAGACAAGGATTTTTTATTTATACGCAGCCAACAGAGGTTGTAGTAATATGCGGTTCGCCGCGCCATTGTTTTTGTGCATAGATAATGTGTAATGAATTATTTCTGTAATGAACTATGATTGATGAATACATTTTTATGAAGAAAAGCAATACCATTAATTCGTTAATGGTGAGAACCGATAAAATACGAGTTCTGAACATGTTTTCCTGTGCAACAGTAACAAGCCATGGCAATCTTTATGTTCATTATTGTTTCTAAAACATTAGCAATTGAAGGAAGATGCGACCGGTTTGTATCCACTCATTTTTGTCACCAAGAGTTGTATCGTGCAATGGATATTTTATTTTTTGTTAAATGTTATTTTTCTTTGTTAAATGCCTTTTCTGCTACGGGTCTTATAGATATGGAATCACATGAATGCTTGTTCAATGAAATCATCTTTTCTATGGTCAGGAATTTGTATGGTTTAGTAGCTATCACTTTCTACTTTGAATAAACGTTTCGTCATATTGCTTCTTATGACTTCCAAGGTTGGTTTGATTCACCTTAGGCCTTGTTTGTAAATGAGAGAAAAGAAAAATGATGAGTCATTTTCAATTTCCTTTTCGTAGTTATTTTCTATTCTATATTTTAGATATAATGAAGAAAAGAGAATAAATTTATTTTTCTTTGTTTGGACAGAGGAAAGAAAATGTTATTATTAAAAATTGCTAATTATGTCCTTAATTAAATAATGGGGTATTTAAAAAAAAAAAAGCTAAAGTTTGTTAATTAATTTAGAATAATTAGGTAATTTAATAAAAATAAGTGAATCTCATTTGCTTTTATTATTTTATTTCTAAATTGTAAAGGTTCAAAATATGTAAGCCCTGAGTGGAAAATAAAAAATAAACATGTTCCTCATTTTTTCCAAACAAGAAGAAATAACCTTTCGTATACGTTTGTTATAGTTATTTTTCTTTCTTTCAAAAAAGTACTCCCATCCAAATAAAAGCTTATGGTCTAATGAGCAAAACAATATTATAAACCCAATTGTACTTTATTTTAATTTTTTAATAAATATCACCCAAAAATGAAATTTAAAGTTCATGATTGAAATTGATTGAACAATATTCTAAACTCAATTATAATTTATTTTAATTGTTTTAATAAATATTACACTGAAATGAAATTTAAAGTTCATGATTGAAATTGATTGAACAATATTCTAAACTCAATTATAATTTATTTTAATTGTTTTAATAAATATTACACTGAAATGAAATTTAAAGTTCATGATTGAAATTTATTTTTGCACCTTAGAATATGGGAATAAAGAAAAAAAAATAGATATTTAAATTTAAAGAATCTTGTGAAGAGGTGTCAACCTCAAATTCCAACTATTCTTTGTTGTGAAGTTCATCTAAAATTATGATATACCCGGAAAAAAAAATAAAGAAAAAAGAATAATAATAAAGCTTTCTCAGCATGGTATCCTCCCTAATACAAAATTCATGGACCTAGACCTCAGCTCCTAATGATTCAAATGAGCAATCGATAATGGTCATTAGATGCTTTTTATCTAAAGATTAAAAATTAAAAAGTGTTTGATACAAGTTAATATATGTCCAAAATAATACCGTTTAATTTGTGCTTAAAAGTAATTAATAACTAAGTTAAAAATTATAAAATAAAAAAATGCAATAATTAAAATGAGAAAGAAATTTATTTGTAATAGAAATCATAATGCATGTCATCTGCAATAAGCTTCTCGTTGAAGAATTACCATTTTCCAAGTAAAGTAAATCAAATGACCTTTTTCCATCAAAGGACATAAGAACAAATCAACAAAGTTATATTATTATTCTTTTTTTGAAAACCCTTTATTAAATGGATTCTGTTATAGCTTCAAGACCAACCCCTTTACAGATTGTGCCAGTAGAACTAATCCACAGCTTATTTAAATGAATCAATGACTAGAAAAAAGGTCATGGCATCTGATACTTATTTCCAAAAGCTTAGCAGGTAAGGCTGACCAAGCTTACACTTTAACAACACTAGAAAAGACGAGCAACAAAACCATGACATACAGCTGGGGAATAAAAATTGAGCGGAGGTGTTCAAACAGCAAAATTTGGTCATTTCACTAGGTTTTCTAAAATTTGTGACAAGAAATGTTATTTTCTAGTTCACTGGACATTGTATCCAATTATACAGGAACTTAGCACTTGTAGGCTTACTTGGCTTCACAGAGACCCAAGTTCCGAGTCCCCTCTCTCAATCATAATACACCGAAGAAAAGGAAAAGAGTATGATGAAAAATCACTAATGTTCATTGATTATACCATTATAGTAAAAAAGCATATCAGGAAATACACATGATGAAACCAAATAATCAAATCTGCAGTTTCTTCACTTTTCTCATGGTATGGTGACGCAATACAAAATTCTGCAGGACATCAAGCTGAACAAATATCCTTCCTTTGCTTTGAAGTTTTCTAGTAATTCCATCCGCACAATGACAGGATAAACTTAAAGCAGGTCACGAAAAAAAATGAGACAGAGCATGAGATGACCATGAAATGTCCTATAGGAGAGTAGTCCACTACTACTACACATATAATCGACAATTCAATCAATAAGAAAGAGCAACATTTCACAAAGCATGGACAAAAACCATTGTTAAAGCAAGAAGTTTATCTACAATTGTAAGCATAATGGGGATTGGAATAAATCATTATGAATCACAATGTCAAGGTAAGGCCAATTATGATAATCTAAATTCTATAAAATAAATAAGCACCAAAAAAAATGGAAAAACACAAGATTTTCCACAAATTATACCAAGAAAAACAAGTGTTACCTTCGCCAATCAATTTTAGCATTTGATTACGCACACAAGTCAAAGTTTGCACTAAAGACAAGTATGTATCGGACCATTAGCATCCCATCACAGCACAATTGTATACAAAAGCACCTGCTCGCTCCTTGACAGCAAGAACATTCCATCCTGGCCCATCCATACTTCTATCCTGTGGATCCCAAGAATGCAACACAATAACCTCACCTTCAGGACCTCTATGTCCCCCAATCACTAATAAGCTCTTACCACATGCTTTAAACGCTAAGCCCCAACCATGAGAAGAGTCAGCCCTAACTGGCAACCATTTCACTACATTCCATGAATTATTGTTTTTGTCATATTTCTTGACCTCATTTGTTGCTTGATCAGCAGAGTAAAGTTGATTATTCACAACAGCAACTAGAGGAGGAGAACGCATGGCCGGATGACCTATGCTGGAAACAGGGTACATGTTCTCTATCCTCCTCCAGGTCCTTGTCTCAAGGTTATACTCCTCGCCACAGCTTAAACATTCTGTTTGGCTTGACATACCCCCAATAACATAAAATTTCCCATCCATAAAGAATCCTGAACACAGCTTACGTGGCAAGTTCATATCTGGCAAAGCTTGCCAAAAACCTAGTTCAGAATTATAAAGCTCGGCAGATCTTAGAATGTGTCCTTTATTGTCACTTCCCCCTGCAACAATGGCATACTCCCCAAGGCTGCTTGAACCGAACAGACAACGAGGCAAGTCCATTGGAGGGCATCTGGACCAATCATGAGAAATCAAGCTGTACCTCCAGATAGCAAATCCTGACAACTCACGGCCAAAAACAAGTAGTTCAGTACCTACTGCAAGAGACTCCTTATCTGCATAAGTAAAACATTCATCACATGGCATCCTAGGCAATCGCATCCATCCTTGCCTCACTGGATCAAAAGCTTCCCAAGGCATTAAAATACAAGCTAAATATACCCAGTGTTCAACAATGCCAAGCCTCTGTCTCAATCTATATAAATATCCACTTCTAATCAATCTTTTAAAATTTTTATTCACACAAGCCAAACTTGGATAATCTGATCTGCAGCTCCAAGCCAATATATCTAATGCTGTGTCTTCATGAAGACCAGGCAAGAGGCAATCATCTGATGCATGGGCATTATGATTTTTTCCATTTCTATCCACAACTGCTGATTTCATTTCCTTTAGCCATATTTGACCCAAATCAAAACCAAGCACCTGTCTTTCAAGCAACCTATTTCCAACATTATCTGAATCAACACTTCTCGATAAGATAATGAACGCCAAAGACTGAAATTTTTTCTGGGAAATTCCCGATTCTTCCCGAAAATATACAGGAAGCTGAGACACATCACAATTCTGCAAACTAACATTTACTGCTGAATCACAACCACTATCTTCCACCTTCACTTTTGGTCCCTTGAGTGCATCTCTAAACACCATTGCAAACAGCAATCTCTCTAAACAACCAACCCAAAAAAAAAAAAAAAAAGCGTCTAAAAACCCAACCCAAAAAAAAAAAAAAAAAAAAAAAAAAAAAAAAAAATGCACACCCGAAGTTATATATACAAACAAAGAGACCAAAACACTTCCACTAACAAGAAATTCAAAGCATATGCAATCACGAGCCAAATTAAAGAATTAAGCTCATAACAAGCTAAGCAATTGTTTCAGTTCTAAAAAGACGGGAAGCTAAGGTCAAATGAAATAGAAATTCCTCTTCAAACAATAACTATCAACCACAAAAACATACTAACAAATGAAATTGGCTGTAAAAGAGTCCATACACTCTGAAAGTATCCAATCTAGCAAATTATACAGTAGCATGCAAGACAATTAAGCACAATAAATTAAAAAAAAAAAAAAAAAAAACCCTTAAATCGCCTAAAAAAAAAAAAAAAAAAAACCCAATATCTTAAATCGCTGAAGTATTTCCAAACGATAATTGAATTGAATTTCCTCAGAACGAAAAGCCCTAACCGATCAGATCATTTTAAAAAGCTGAAAGCTTCTTCTCTCTCTCTTTCTCGCTCGAATCTCTATTTATCTGATTACTGTTACTATTGATTGATTCATTCTTTATCTTTTATGGTTGCTCTGCTTTGATACATAGAGGAAGGATTTTCTTTTTTCTATTTTCTTATTTTTTAGCGTTTTGGCATTGAAAGCTCGTGAATTAAAAAAATTAAAAAGAAAAAGAAAAGTTTATGAAGTTTTTAACGTTTTTCCTGTTTCTGTGTAGTTTTTGTTCTCTATTAATTTATTTATTTTAACTGCTTTATTCTGCTTCGTAAATCTTTGCTTCGGCCTTTCCGTTTGGGTATTTTTTGTTTTTCTCCGTGTGTTTGACTGGTCAGCTATCTCTCGTCTTTAATTTTGTGAAAGTAAATTTCTATCTAGTCCTTCAAGTATGACTATAATTATAATTTTCTCTTTTATTTGATAACCAGTGTACAGATTTGTCCTTAAACTAGTTAATTCTTCTGCCTATAAAATATCATTACCCTTTACTCTCCATATAGCTTTATTATTTAATCCAGCAATAACAATAAAGATACTCTTTTTTATTTTGAAGGGAGTTAATTATTAGTTGGTAACATTCAAATTGAATCCTTTCGTTTGACACGACCAATGATATGTTTCAACTTTCAAGAGTTGCAGAAAGCCAAAATATAGTTTTAAATCAACATAAAATGTTGGTCCATTTATCCTGACCTGGACTGGACATTCCTTCCAATTGGAAAAGTGTGATCAGTGTCCTGTTGAACTTAGAAACTGGGTTGATCAGAGTTCAGACATTTGGATTCATAAATGAAAACAAACAAGTTAGAAATGTTATAAAACGAACTCGGCCTAACTCATTCTCCAAAAGTGAATTCAAAATATATGAAATGTGAAATTTACATGTAAATATATCTCTGGTGGCCTAACATTAAAGCAAGGCAGGCTTTGATACTATTTATAAAATGAATCATGTGTAACTCACTCCCGAAAGTTAGCTTAAGAGAAAGAAAAAAATTTTCTAAATATTGTATTTTATCCAAACCAACATGGGATAATAGATAACAAGTAATTGAAAGATTAGGTTGTCGTCATTTTCAAATATTGTTCATCCATACATTTATAGTAATGAGCAGAGCAGTTGCTTTTTCTCTTATGACAAAATCAATTCCATCCGATGGGTATTACCAATTTGAAATATTGTGTAAAAAAATTCTTTTTTTTTTCTTTGGGTATGAAAAATAAATTATTTTATCAACATGACAGACCATCATTTTATTAACAATAAATTTTTCATAATAAAATATGATTAGACTCGGGTTATATGTTTATATAAATTAATCATAATAATACTTTCTAAAAATCATTTCGATTTTACTTTTCTTTAAGTAAAAAATAAAAATATCATTTTTTTTATAAATATTTTTCATTGTTTTCGTGTGCCAAATTAAAATATTCCTGTTATTATAGGATGTAGACAGTATATCAAATTAGAAATGCATGCCATGTCTAAAACGTGTAACGTAGTTAATGGACTATCCTAAAATTGTAATGAACCTTTGGCGAAACACGCCAAGGTCTCAAGATAGACCTCTAGGATCCACGTGTCATCAGACTAGGCTAACCACTCACCGCTTAGTCAATACAATTGCATGTATCACGAACCACACGTGCCAATCTACAGTTACCATATGTCGCACGTGCGACTAGACACGCTCGAGTTGAATATAGTAGCCTAAGCAGCTTTCCAAATTTAAACAAAAAATAATAATAAATAAATAAATGAATTTATGCTACTTAGTATTTATGCTCCGTTACTATAAATAAATTTAAAATGTGAAATTATTTTGAAAATAAAATTTTCATATTTGGAGCAAATTTAAAAATTAAAAATTTATTTACTTTTAAATTTAAAATATTTTTAACATAATAATTTTAAAAGGCTATGAGGATGAATATTTTATAATAAGATTTTTAAGTTGTTTAATTTTATAAAATTTATTTGAAAATTCAATATTTTTGTTTTAGAATATGATTTAATTATATTTGAATTCATAGAATTGAATCTGTAAGGTTGAATTCATTTACCAAATACAGAAAATTTGGATATATAAACGAATTCCACAAAATTATTCCAAACATTTTTTGCTCTTAATTATTATTATTGTATAATATATTAATTAGTTTTAAATATCTAAAATATATCATTCAGTTTATAATCGTTATTCTTATTTAATTTTTTCCATTAAATTATAACAATTTTAACATGTAAAAGTAACAGAAATATTAAAAACATTTCCATACGAATTCTTATCCATTTAGAAATTAGCAAAGTTTCTAAAAAAAAAAAAAAAATTTTCTAAAAAAAAAAAAAAAAGAGTAATATTAAACAAGTGTTTATTGGTTGAAACTTCTAAAAAAAAAAAAAAAAGAGTAATATTAAACAAGTGTTTATTGGTTGAAACTATAATTAATAGTTATATATTATTATTATTATTATTATTATTTTTTAGTTAACATATAAATATTTTATTTCCATGTCAATCGGGTATGATTCAATTGATTTTCTTTCTAACCACTTGTTTATAATAAATGAATTCCACAAAATTTTGTGGAATTAATTTATTGATTTAAAATTTTGTATTTGTTACTAAAATAAATGAAAAATTAAAATTTACAATTTCAATTCTATATATTTAAATATAATTAACCGAATATTCAATAAATTCTACAAATTTAAACTTCAAAACTTTAAGACAAATATCTTCATCCACTTAACGTTTTTAAAAAAAAATATTATTTTTAAATTTATTCTAAACATGAAAAAATTTACTTATAAGTAAATCATATCTAAAATTTATTTATAAACCAATTCAATCCTTTTACATCTATCTAACCTATGATTTGGCATGCCATAATATTTAAAGTTATTAGATTTCAAATGAAAAAGAAAAAAAAAAGTAAAATTAGACTTTATTAATTTATTCCTCATATTAAATTTAAATATCAAAATCTCCATATTTTGAATAATATATTTGGACTCGAGACATTGTGTAACATTAAAAAAATTTAAGAAGTTAAATAATACTATATTTTTAAAATTTAAAAATTAAATGAAACATTAAATCATAATAATCTATTTTAAAAATAAGGAATAGAATAAAATAAAAAACAAAACCTCTAAAATTGGGAAACAGCTGACCAAGGCAAGGGGGAAGTCCCTCCATTAAGAATTGCAAATCTATCTATAAAATTTATTAATTTTCCAGGAAAATAAAGAGGAGAGGGAAAGGAAAAGTATCAGAAAAATTCATCTAATTCTAGAGATAGAAAGAAACAAAGAGATTTGCCCTCACTTTAAATAAAATATTTTTTCTAGAGAGAGAAAATAAATAAAATGATATATAAAGAGAGAGGCAAATTTGAGCTGAGAAGGAAGCAGGAAGGTGTTATCAATTTTCTTGAACTGAGCATTTGATTTCAGAATTTCTCTGCAGATCATAGAGAGAGAAAACTATATACAGGGGGAGTGTGTTCTGAAAGAGATTAAATAATAATACTAATAATAATAGAAATAACTATAATTATTAATAACAATTAGTATTTTTACATTTATGTGTGTGTATGTGTGTGTGTGTGTGTGTGTGTATATATACACATGTAGGTGTATATTTGTATGTCAGATCCTCTTGTAGCAGGAATATCGTCTGATTGTTGGTTTTCCTTGTTTTTGTAGTATTAGATAGAGAAGAGAGAAAAACCTAGATAGAAAGGGGGTTGTAGGATTGTGTTACGTATCGTGTTCAATTTAGGATTGAGTGTGGTGTTAATTGGGGAAAACATTAGAGCAATTTGTGGTGATTGAAATAATTTGGATTTGATGTTGGTGGATTGCGGCGGATTGTGTCGGTGGTGGCGGGGATGGCAGCCGAGCAAAGGGAACGGAGCGTGGAGGAGCTATACAATGCGACGAACTTGATTGGAAAACCAAAGGCATGTAATTAGGGTTTTGTTGTTTTTGATTAATTTTTGTGTTGAATTTCATAAATTCTTATTGGATTACATGTTCAATTGATTTCTGTTTTCGAGACTCTCAGTTTTGCAATTTAGGTATTTCAGAATTGGCTCGATTATTTTTTGAGAACTTGACGATTGAATGAGAGATTAATGAAATAGCGATTGATGTAGTATTGACGTGCTTTTTAGATCACATCAGTCTTGAAAGGGAGTTATCGCATGCAGGGGCCAGTAGAGGAAACTGAACGAGATATTGAGAAGAATATGGTGAGATAAAAGGGTAATTTACATTCTGTTGTTCTATCTTCTTTCTATCTCTTCTACTCTTCCGCTGGGTTCCTTTCACTCATTACTCATGAAGTTATCATGAATAAAACAGAATAAAATCTGGAGATTAAGAATATTTCGCAGTTGGATGAATCTGCTTAGGTTATGGCGTTTTCATTTCTGTATTCTCTTTCTGGAATTTATAGAATATGTGAATGGGCTTTGGCACTTTTACAAATTGTACTCACTGGTTAATCTTTTGAAGTTGCTAAATGTTGTTTGGATGACAATTTCGCTCTATGTACTATAGTTTTATTGAAATTAGAGGTTTATCAGGTGAGCACAATGAATCATTTTCCATGTTGAACGTTCTTTATAATCTTAACTCTAGATTAATATTGCCACAAATTCTAGTGTAGCTTGCATAACCTAAGGTTTCTGAAGGTTACAAAGGGAATAGGTCACCATTTGGCTTATTTGATTAGGAAAAGAATAACTGGTTTTGGGGTTTAGTTTGGGGGAAAAGAAAAATATTGGTTTCTCTGTTAAAGAATTTTATGTAGAAAATGTAGGAGAATCAATTACCATAGCTTCTATCCACCATCACAACAACTATTATGATTGTAAATTCTACTGCCATTAACATTACCATAGCCGCCTCTGTGGATGCATTTGTTACCAGTATCACCACAACACTATCACTTCAACACATGACAACACTGTTATAACACCATGCGCATCATCACGGAATGCATTTACATCACTGTCACTACTGGTTACCATCACCAGCACTGCTACATTTACCATCATGACAATCATTCAAAAAGTACCACCAACTCCTTCCGCCCTCCCCTGCCAGTACCTGTAAAACATATCACTACCATTATTAATATCATGACTATCATCCACTACTACGACAACCAAAATTTGATGCCTTTGCCAGCACCTTTAACCACTATACAATTATCATAATCAGTGCTAATGTAATTAATAAATTCGTAACTTAATTTTTTTTAATTTTGACTTTTAGCTCTTGCAAATGTGGTTTTTTGTGAGATCTTATTATTAATTTTTTAATGTTAAAAGTATTCAACTTTTAGATTTTGAGCCTTACGCTTTTCTTTCCAGGGTCCCTTGTAAAAGGGGTTTTATAATGGGATGATAAACATATTATAGGTTTTAATTACATCCTTTCTTGTAATGATTCCAGTATGAGGTGTTTTTCTGGCTATATGAATTTGTTTATTTTTTGAAGAGAATAAACATATAAATAATTGAAGTTATTTCTAAGAAGAATTAGGCACACTTTCTTTGACAATGGCTCAAAATTTTTTACTTTGGGAATCCCTTTTCCTTCCTTGGGAGTTGATAAAGACAACTCTCCAATTAACAGGAACTAGAGCCTTACCATTGTTAGTGCATAAGGGTGCAAAGATGAGCTCATAATGAAATGATGATCTGTACAGCATTTTTCTGCATTAAGCCTTCATTTAGTTCTCTTTATTGGCCCTTCTTTTGATATTGGTAAAGAGAATGTTCTGCAAAATGTAGAAGAATCAAGGAAATTTTGAGTTGATAGTCCTGCCTGTTGGAACTTAGAGACTGACAAGCTTTGAGATTACAGCTTTGCAGTATCAAGGCTTTCTTTTAAGTGGTGGCGACATTTAATCCAAAATGCAAATTGCTTGGATATCATATCAGATGTAAAATTAAAACGAGCCAAATAATCTTTTAAGTAAATATGTTTCCAAATTGCACAAAGAATTTTGGGAAGGAGAATGGACCTTTCTTTTCAAGGTTTCCTCGAAATAAATGGTTTTGGAATTATCTTCTTATCAGGGAGTACTACCTATGTAAGGCATCTATTACCCTAAGGTTACCACTACATCAAATATAACATGGTGTCTTTCTTGAAGCATTTTGTATTTTCCTTGTTTTATATATAAAATTTAGCCATGTTGTCTGAGAAACACTTATGAGGCTGTAAACCGTAGGCATTGCTTGATTTGAACTGGTTACAATTTTTATGACAATTAGATTATTTTAAAATGACTATTTATTCCCCAAAACTAATCTTTGGTTTGCAATCTGGTTTAGTTTCTACAAAACTTTAGCTTTTTTAATGTATTGTGAAATGCATATGAGTCTACTTTATTATGAGAAGTTGATTTATTATCCCTGGTAGCTGTTATTTAATGCTATTAGCTTGGACTTGGTCTCAAATAATGTCTTTTGAGTGTTTGGTTCTATTGGTTTTGCTTTTTGTATTTTAAATTATGTTGAAAATTTTTAGGGAAGTTTTTTCTGTGTTAGAATATGTAAATATTGTTCACAGGAATATTTGAACCTGAAGATCAAGATTTATTTCCTATCTTCTTGCTTGTTTCATTTTTTATTGCAGTTATCATCTCAGTCTGAAAAGAGATTAGGAAAACCTTCCATGAGACGGAAGGTTCGTGCAAGAGTAGAGTCTGGGACGTGTAACGTGTGTTCCGCTCCTTGTTCATCGTGTATGCATCTTAAGATTTCCTGTATGGAATCAAAGGACGATGGATTTTCGGATGAAACCTTTCGTGGAACTGCAACAAGTCAGAACTCTATTAATGAGGATGAAGTTTCGTGTTTTAAAGATAGGGCTTGTGAAGCAAGTAACCTTCTCAGTGCCAATTCAAGTCAAGATTCTTTATCTGTAAATGCAGAAAGTAAAGTACATTTGAGGTGTTCTGATACAGTTGATACCTCAGTTGAGTCTAAGATGCCTCTGAAAGTGCCCCTTGATGGAACTGTTGGGGTGGATAAACTTTCTCCAAAGCAGCAGTGCACTTTAGCAACTATCTCAAATAAAACTATCTCAAATAAGAATGAGTATCCCAAAGTTGTAGAAGGTCATGATGATAACATTTCATGCATCAGTAGAGCTAATGATGTGAATATAGCAGAAGGTTATCATAGCAATAATGTAGACAGGAAGAATTTATCTAGTAGTTCAGCTTTAGTTTGTAGTTTAGGATCAGAAGGAACTGGAAAGACAATAATTTCCCCTAAGCCAGAGTTGTTAGAGACACTTCCAAATGATGCATGTGCTGGCAGTAGCTCACCAAAGGTCCAGAGCAGGTGTACGTCCTCCAACACAAATGGAGCACATTTGGAGGAAGATGCAAAGGTAGATACTCCTAAGGTTTCAAGTCAACTTTTTCCAAAGTTAGAAGTTGATACCAAAGACGACAATGGAGACCCACCAGATGAAAGATTTAAGTGTCCTGTCCAAGTTGATCGAGATGAGAAGTTGAATGTGTCAGTTGATTTACCTGATTTGCAGGAGGCTGCTTTGCAATCTGTATCTGGTGATGAAAGTGACGAGTCAGAAATTGTGGAGCATGATGTAAGTAATATGCACTTGCATGGTCTTTTTGGAAGCTTGAGCTGTCTTTGCTGAGTTATTGGAATTTTTAGTCGCATAATATTTCCAATTTGTGTTCACTGCATTCTGGTTTTGTAAAGCTATTTTTAGTTGCATATTTTTTCCATCTGTATATATGTTCACACATTTATAAAATGTCTATGTCAACTCAATATATATTATTTAGCAATGGCAATTTTTGAAGGGAGAATGACTTCTGAAACTTAGTGGTGTAGGTTTTGGAAGGTCTATAAAACAAATTTCTTGGTTTATTGATTTTCGCCCTCTGTTCTAGTGCATATTTTCTGGCAATCAGGTCTGTGGGATTCATTGAGGTCTTGGGCTAATTATGGATTTTGGTTTATCTTATTCGTATGGTGTCTGCCAATAAAGCAACATTTATTCATTTAGTCAACAAACTAACTCTTGAAACTTCCTTGCTTGATGCGATCAAATGTACTGTAAATGAAAATGGAAAATTCTTGAAATGAACATTTATTTAGTATAAGTTCTTTGAATTAACATGTTGAAGAAAAGGGTATTATCTTGCAATTAATAGCTTCCAATGTCATTTACAATATTAAAATAAGGATGTTGCTCTTTCTTCTGGTTGTTTCCTTTTTCTGGGGATTTTCTCCTTCCCTTTCAGCTGAAGCTATGATATGTTTGAAACAGGTGAAAGTATGTGATATTTGTGGTGATGCTGGTAGGGAGGATTTGCTTGCTATATGCAGTAAGTGCAGTGATGGTGCAGAACATACGTAAGCATATATGATCTTTGACATATGGTTCTTATGTTGTTGACTTTTATCGGTTCTCTGTTCTATCAAATCAGATGTTCATACTCAAGCTAGTCTTAACATATTTGTTGTTGTTAACCAGTTATTGCATGCGAGAAATGCTTCAGAAGGTCCCAGAAGGTGATTGGCTGTGTGAAGAATGCAAGTTGGCTGAGGAAACAGAAAACCAGAAGCAAGGTAAAGCAGAAATAATTGAAATTGTTATAAGAAGAATTGCAGTGATCTGTATGCAAAGCATTTGCATTTTTTAACTCTTTGTAAAATTAATTCTGAAGGTTCAGATGCTGAGGGTAAAAAATCTAGCAGAGCAGGTGCACAGAGCTCCAGCAAGAGGCTTTTTGAAACTATAGAGGTCGCTTCAGCTTCAAAAAGGCTAGCTATTGATACAAGTTTTGGATCACCAAAGTCATCCAGCCCTAGCAAAATAGCTGCACTGTCTCGGGATAGTTCATTCAAGGGCCTAGATAAAGGGAAAGTAAAACCAGCTCATCAAACATCTTTAGCCAATCACTCTACTATTGATAGTCCGGAAATTGCACGTTCTCCTATTGGTCCACGTCTTCGAACACCCAAGGGTAATGAAAATAACTGTCTGTTACTTGTATTTATGTCTTGGATGTGGAATTTTGAAATGGTGTTTGTACTGAGATTAATTGATTTTATGCCAGTTTATGATTTGTGGTCAATCCAACTTTTTCCAGAACTGGTTACTAGATATTATATATATATATTTTTTATTTGTACTGAGATTAATTGATTTTATGCCAGTTTATGATTTGTGGTCAATCCAACTTTTTCCAGAGCTGGTTACTAGATATTATATATATATATTTTTTATTATCACACATACAACTAGGTCTATTTCCTTTTTTTGTCAGAGAACAAAAATGTAACATAGTGTAATCAGTATTTAAGTTTAAAAAAAAATGTAAATGAGTATTTAAATCCAATAGACTAGCATAATTTATATGAATAGGCTGCTATCTTAAAAGATTTAATGAATATTTAAATCCAATAGACTTGCATGATTTATATGGATGGACTGGTATCTTAAGGTTTGTTCGGAGAGAATTAGATTGTATGAGAAGTTGTAAGGTGAAGGTTTTTGGACCTGGTGTGATTTACATATTGATATATATAAGCTGGATGGAGGCAATGGTTTTCTCATTCTGATTTTTATTATCAATTGGTTTTATTATGGCAACACCAGCATCCGTTAATTGTATTTCTCTGTACAGGTACTTTATTGAAGTCCAATTCATTCAGCACTATAAATTCCAAACCAAAAGTGAAACTTGTTGATGATGTTCCTCAAAAGCAGAAGGGCAATAGAGAACTCGATATGAAAGAGGGGACTGCCAGGACGATGAGCAAATCTATGTCATTTAGATCTGTGAATCCAAGCCGTTCTGGTGCTACTGAGTCAAAAGTTAAAATGCTTTCATCAAAATATTCTCAAGCTCAAGATATAAAAGCACTAAAACAAGTGAAAGAACGGAATGCATCTGAAAGTAAGACTTTGGCTAAATTGGATCGTCCTGTGGGTAGTTCGGGGACAACTAATTCTCACATCTCTACGCTTAAAGTCAATCAAAAGCTCACTCCTCGTGGTGATAATGTTGCTGTATCATCTACAAGCAATAACAAAGAGCCAAAGGCTTTGCAATCTGATGGTAAATTGGGTGGCTTATTGAGATCAACCAGCAGTATAGCTCGTAAAAGTGCTGAGCTTCCTATTACTTCTGGTATGATCTTACCGTCTCTGGTTCTCTCTTAATTTTTTCTTCTACAAAGCTAGTTTTCCATCCTCCGCTTCTCCTTTTCTTTTTGGATCGGGTGAAATCAACTTTTTATTATTTGCTTTTACAGTTCGATCTTCAGCTATGAATGGGATGTCTAGTGCTTCTATTGAACAAAAGTCAAACCAAGTTATTCCAAAGGATGAACCCTCTTCCAGTTCTTCTTGGAATGCTGAGAGACAGTCCCATAATATCGATGAAAATTTACAAGGCTTATCTCGGTCACGGGAATCATCAGATCAGAGTGAGAAAACTAGGGAGAGTTCTGTTACTCGCTTGAGGCCTGCTGTGACTGCTGGGCTAAAAAGTGTCACCTGTCAAAAGTGCAAGGAAATTGGGCATGCTGCAGAGTTTTGCACGATTTGTAGTCCTAGGCCTTCTGGTACTGATACATCTGCTGCAAGAATTGTTAGGGAGGACATGAGCAAAGGTAGTAAGTTGAAAGCTGCAATTGAGGCTGCCATGCTTAGGAAGCCTGGAATATTCAGAAAGAAGAAAGAAATTGATCAATCTGATGGCTTGTTGTCATCAAATGTGGATGTGACTTCTGAGGCAGCTTCGCATGATCAGTTTTCAGTTTCAAATAAGTTGAGAAATATGATTTCTGATGAAGGAACAGATGAAGGGCAAGCAAATATTGGTCTGAGTTCGTCTGAGAGTTGCAAACAGATGAATATTAATAATGTCAAGCAGCTGAATGTGAATTCTGCAGATATTGTTTTGCCTTTAAAAGTTGGGGAAGATACAATGGTCCCTTCTGGTGGAAAACCCTGTCATTCTTTGACAGCAACACCCCTTTTTTCAAAGATGTTAACCATCCCAGAGCATGAATACATCTGGCAGTAAGTTTTTCTTCCATGTGTATGACTAGGCATCATGTTTTCCTCTATTCTCTCATCTCCATACATGCTTGTGAAATCGTGTTCTAGGTGAGATTTTGTTACATGCATGCAGGGGGGCCTTTGAAGTGCGCAGAGGTGGAAGACTACTGGACTTACATGATGGAATTCAAGCGCATTTATCAACTTGTGCATCACCTAAAGTCCTAGAAGTAATGAATCAGTTTCCCCAGAAAATCACTGTGGATGAAGTGCCTCGCTTAAGTACATGGCCAAGACAGTTTCACGAACTTGGTGCCAAAGAAGATAATATTGCTCTTTATTTCTTTGCTAAGGATCTTGAAAGGTAAATATGGGTGCAATTTGCTCTTTTCTTACCGAAAGTGGTTTCTTTGATGTATATGACCTTTTTAATGTTACTGATTGTGGTACAGTTATGAAAAAAGCTACAAGAACCTGTTGGATAACATGATTAGAGGAGATTTGGCATTGAAAGGATATTTTGGGGGTGTTGAATTCTTAATATTCCCATCCACCCAGCTTCCTGAGAAGTCCCAGCGTAAGAATGTTGTAGATTTATATTATTCAACTTTGTTTTTGGAATAAATAATATGGTAGAATTCGTTTGTTATTGTTATGTTAGAAATCATGAAATTTTTGAATCTCATAATCTCAATTAATGGTACTTTATCATTAGCCTAAATTCTGTAAGAACCAGTCGAATTTTGAAATGAATTCAATATTTTCTGATTAGACTACCTCCCCCTCTTTCAATGGTCTCAACAGCTCGCTCTCTCACAAAGTTTTAAAAAACTCTAATTTTAGCTTGTGAGCCTTTTTTTGAGACCTCTTTTGCTTCTCCACTCATAGTAGATTAGGATGGTGCTTAAATCCAAGGAACTTGAGGGGAGTGAAATCCCAGTTGCATTGCGATATATGTTAAGAAGAGAAAGTAGTAAGAGTTGATGGTTATGAACACATGGATGGTTGATCATATTTCCAAGCATGTGGTAGAAAGGGCTGTTTCTTGTTCTTTTGGACAAAAAAAAGGCCCCATGTAGTGAGGAAAGATGGGTAGCTTGTAACTCAAATTTAAGAAATAAGGATATACATTGAATTCAACTCTATGTTTGTTGAATTCATGTGAAATTCAATTAAATTTCATTCATTAATTTGCAGCATACCAAACATCACAATTCATTTGCAAATAAATTCTGCTGTGATTCATTTTCAGAATACCAAACATCAAAGTATTTGCAGAATTGCTTCCAAATGTAGTGTTGATTTTTGTTGTGATTCATTGTAATAATTCCTTGATAGGATTGCATACTTCACACCTAGGGATTTATTCCTTGGTGAGGCAAACTGGTTCTCTTGTGGAATGATGATACTGTGAGACTGGTGGTATAAAAATATTTTATCCATATGCATTTATATAGCATGCTATGTTTGCTGTTAAATTTCATCTCTGTTTTACTTTGTGTATCATTCTAGTAATTGAATATGGAATGTTATATCTCAAAGTTAGTACCCCCTGATTTTAAACCAGCTGCATGATCCTCTGGTGGCTCACTGTTGTTCAGCTGGTCCTTTGGTGGCTCACTGTTGTATATTCCCTGATTGTGTTCTTTTTTGCCATGATCCTACCTAATTGTTTGCCTCAATTCAAGAAAATACTTAGAAATGAGTGGACGAGAATTGGCAGTATTTTATGAGATCTGATAGTATTATGGGAAGAAATGACATAAAATTTAGTACACAACTATGGTAATTTCTGATGTTCATGATCTATAATTGGCAGGCTGGAACATGCTATTTTTTCTGTGGGGTGTGTTCAGGGGAAGGAAATCCAATTGTTCAGATCCGGCAAGTAAGTCAGTTACTACCAGTCCTAATGTGGTGCCAGTGGACATGAATGGTACACACAAGCCATATAATTCACTGAATGGGGGTCTTGATAAAGCATCTGGTCCACAAACAAGCTTGGAGCAACAAGATGGTAGACTCAACTCCGAATCCTTGCCAAAAAATGCCACAGGCAGTGAACTTTGGTGCTCAGACATTAGATGCACTCCTTCACAGGTAATTTTTATTTTGTTTCTCCAGTCGAGAACAGATTGGTGCTTGATGTTCTGTTCCTGTGCTCATGTGGTATTTTGGTAGATTGGCTTGCATGATTGCACGCATGCTTTTGCTCCGCCCTTTCCCCCACCACAACAAGCCCAAAAGAGAGAGAAAGATGTTTGAGTTTTAATCTTTAATTTGAATGTGCCTATACAGCATTTTGGCCTATCTTGCAATGAATAACTTGTTTTATGTTTTGGTCATAATTAGAAGATTGGTGGCTTTTTTAATAACATTTTGGCTTTCTTTATAATTTGAATGTGTCATTTAGTGCATGCTATTTTAGAAAGTTGGATACTAGATCAAACTTGAATGTGTTTTCAGTCTTGATTTCTGATGTTTATCTTCCTAATTCTTGTTTTTTCTGCTCATTTTTTAAGGCTGATTGCAATTATTTATGTTAATGGCATAAAGCATTTGCGTGCGCGCACGCACACACACACACATATGTATGTATACACACACATCATCATCATCATTGTCATTGTCATCATCATCATTATATGGTGTTTGCGATTGCTTGAATTATTGTGGCTGACTTCTATGTTTTGGAAGTTTATGCATACATTTACATATTTCTATATTATTGGTATTGCAGTATTGTTTTTATAATAGCCACCTGCAGAGGATGGCAGCTGTTATTGCTGAAAACTCCCATGAATTTTTTTCAATAATTTACTGCTGGAAGCATCATATGGATTTGAAAATGAGACGATTCTAAAGTGACTTTTGTTTACTTTTCTGATTCTATTTACACAACCATATAATTGAAGCTACTGTAAATTCTTCAACTTCCATTGTTATAGTTCCTAATAATTCATTTTGTTTGATGCTAATGCCTAATTAAATATGGCTTTAAGTTGTTCCTTTCTATTGGAGATCTGTTTCCAATTAATAATGGGGCATGAGCTAGTAGAGCAGATCTTGTATTTTTCAGGTAACTGGAAAAGCCCAAAGGCATTTAAGCCTTCAAGTGCTTCTCGGGCTAGGAATAAGCTATTATTCAGGCTTTTGCATTTACAGGATAAAAACCTGATAACAACACAACCTAAGAATAAGCTATTATCAATACACAAGCTAATACCCTTCTTCTTTCTCTGTTTTGCATTTGCATGTTGCTCATGTATATTGACCTCAATAAAGCTTGTCGGATCTTCTGTTTGATGTTACTCTACAATGCTGACCCATTCTTTTCACAGGAAGAAGCAGCTCTTTCAGAATGTAGGCTGGATACAGAACATAAATCGTCTGTTCAAGCAACAAGATCCAATAATGGTTCTAGTAGCAGGGAGGAGATCCAAGTGCATGTCGATGCCTCATGTATGAGAGAAGACTCACCATCCTCCAAGGTTTTCCAGGCTAGTAATCAAGATGAAAGCATCACAACAAGTGTCTGTGAGGAGAAAACAGTGGATAGAATGGACAGGAATAGAGATGAGGTTAAAGTTGAAACGAATCTGAATGAAGATTCTACAAGTATGGATATAGAAGCTTCCTCAGGAGATCTAAGCATCAAAGGGCTTGACTCCTGGCAGTCGAATAGCAGGAAACGCCCTTTCTTGGATCTTTCAGAGACAGCCCCTCAGACTTTGAGTAGTACAGGACAAAAAATGCCATGGGATACGGTAGATGGAGAGAGTAGTATCGGCAAGAAGCTGAAGTCTGGTTGCAGTGAACAATATGCGTGCAGCAGTGTGAGAGGGGGGAATCGTTTGGGTGATGGTTTTACTTCACAGATATGTGACTTGGGGTCGAGTTCCTTCATTGAGGAAAAAAGCTGTGACAAAGCTCCTGATGAGAAAGTTATCCTAGAGGATGTGGGAACAACTGAAAGGTACTTCTTTCCTGTGGATTCACATCGTGTAAAAGATTTTCAATTGGGGGGCAACTCCATGCCCTGGAAAGAATACTCATCAAATGATGAGGATCAAATCCATGAAGAGGTCCCAAATCTTGAGCTTGCTTTAGGTGCCGAGACAAAACCCCCAAACAAAGGAATCCTGCCTTTCTTTGTTGGAATGGTAGAGAAAAATAATACCCAGAACAAGACTCCAGATAAAAAGGTGACAGATAAGGAAGAGGAGGATGGTGTCTCCGCTTCCCTTTCCCTTTCTCTTTCATTCCCATTCCCTGACAAGGAACAAACTGTCAAACCTGTTTCAAAATCAGAGCAGCTCCTGCCTGAAAGGCGCCATGTGAATACTTCACTGCTCCTTTTCCGGGGCTTCTCAGATAAATAGGCCCACAGTGACTTTGTCTGTATATTAATGTGCACCAGCACCACATGGATGTGGTAAAAATGTACCTGATCATGTACGATGATCGTCCATGGGCTTTCCATCTGTTCATACCCCACACAGGATTTACTAATAATTTTTCCTTTTTTTTGTTGTTAGCATTTCTGTTTTCGGAGTGCATAGTCACGGCTGTTTGTATATACAGAGATTTTAAGCCGGTTAAAATGAACCATGAGATATTTGCAGACCCAATAGCTTAATGACGATGCTGAGTATCAGTTATATTTTGTCTTTTCATATTATCTTTGCTCTCTGATTTATTTTCCTTTTTCTTTTTTTTTTTTTTTTGTTTCACTGGTATTTGGTACAGTCATCATGTTTGAACTGTTCATTGCCAGGAAATGATATTAAAAGATGATGCTTTTGGTTGTGGGAGGTGGTAGTAAACCTTTGCTCTACTACCCTTCCCATCTTATTCTCTTGCTGCATCGGGTTTATTGCTTTTCTTGGAAGGACTGTTGGTGCTGTTCGGGCGCTGGGATTAACACCTGAGGCATTCTATTTTTTTTGCCATTCAAATTGAGATTAGAGGTTCTACTGATGGTTACAATGTATTTATGACACTGCTCTTTCCTGGTATAGTTGCAAGGGTCTGTAGTTTTGTACTAGTTTATATCCTCTCTTACAAGTCTTGATGTTGTAGCTGCCTGTCTCCTGGGAAATTTTGCTGCACTAGTGTAAATGTAAATTTAATTCCTTGACCCCTTCTTGCTCCTTTGGGTCAAGATTATGAACTCATCTTTTGCTTATTGGTCTCGTATTTGCCTGCTGCTATGGTACACCGACAAAAATAGAGGGATTAAATAACTTTTTGTCTCGTATTAATCCATCAGGTAAAAGTTTGAATTCGAATTCTTTTTACAAATATTTCAGTTCAAATAAACAAAAATGACAATTATTTGGGACATGATACTGATTTAATTCTTTTAGACATTAGACATAATAAGGCTTCTGGATTTTGATGTGCACAGATATAATAACAAGCTGTATATTCGTATTATGTACTTGTATCATATACGGTTTTAATATATGTAATCCATAACAGCATTTGAAAAAGAAAACGGCTCTTTTACTTAGAAATAAAATGTTCTAAATATGTCTAGAAATTCTTATATTATCTTATTGGGATTAATATAATTAGTCAGCTAATTATATTTATAGTGTTTGAATTTTTTAATTTTTCTGTTTCGGTATTTAATTAGAAGAAATTTGCAATTAAGTGTGTAGAACTATTAAAAATATCGCAATTAAGTCCATTTTCAATTAAAATGGACGATCAAACATAAACAATAATTCAATTCGCTTTTTCTTTTACTTTTTTTAATAAAATTTTATTGTCTTGTATCTCTTTTTCTTAAACAAAATCTCAAAAATCTTTTTAATTTCTCTTGATATATAAAAAAAGAAAAAAGAAACTATAATAATCCAAAAAAAAAAAAAATAACACAAAGAAATAAGATAAAAGATTATAAGTTCAGAAACTTAATTATAAAAATTTTCCATTTAGAAACTAAAATATAAAAAATTTAAAAATTCAAACAATACAAATATAATTAACTCTTTAATTAATTCATTTAAGAAAGTTCCAATTTTTGGAAGAGGTTAGTCGAAGGCGGACCAACCAAAGCTAAACCAACAAGGACCTTGGCCTTAACTACAAGGCCAATGGTAGTCGTTTTGCGCCTCATTTTTCCCTGACATAATTTTCTTTTCGTTTATTACAACAATACCCTTCTTCATTCTTTAGTTTCAAAACAAATATTTCCCCAATGCAAATTGCATATATATGTTTTAATTAATTTGGCTTGTTAAAAAATCCAAATTTATAATCTATTGATATAATTCTTTGCAGCTGAAAAAGAAATTATTATTGATTTTATTTATTTTTCACAATTCTAAAATATTATATCCAAGTTCTATTTCATGATAAAAATTTGCGTTCATCAAAACAGAAAGGGGTATAATCGGAAATTAATGGGAACCCAGAAAACGAACAGCTCAGCTGCGTATAACTATTTCTTCTTCATTTCTTGCGTAAATAATCTTCTTCTCTATATCCTCTCTTAGCCCTCACTCAATTCCCCTCTCTAGATCTTTTTCCTGTTCTACGATGGCGACCAGTTTCGCTCCTGTATCAATCTCAGGTACAAAAATATTCACTTACAGCATCATTTTTCTTTAACTCCTGTATGTTTGGTTGCTGAGAAAACTCGGAAATTTGAAGGAAATATAGTTATACGAAACTCACTTACTCTAGTAGAAATAGTACGAATGGTTTTCTTTAGTTGTTTATCTATTAATTGTTATAAGTATCTTTTTGGTTAATCATATATTCAGTTATAATTTTTATTCTTTAGGAATTTGCATTATATTTTTTTTATTTTCTAGATTAATTTTATTTTTGTTTAGATACATATCATGTGATTTTTCCTTTCGTGATTTGTATATATGGAGTTCTGAGGTTGAACATATCTCAGAATAGAAGTGATCATTGTCGTATTTATTTTCAAGGTTGAAGTAAATGATTTAAATTTCTTGGCAGTAGATCAAGAGCTTAAAATGTTGTGCTTGTTATTTTGTCTATGTTATGTACGGTTTCTTCTTACTAAATGCGATCTCAAACAAGATGTTCTGTTCTTAGGTCTTAGCCTTATAACATTCTAGTTTCCTTATTTGTGAACTTAAGAGTATTGAACGTACATAGTATTGCTCAGTTTTTGATTGCTGATGCTGAATGGAGTTTGTCACTGGCTAACGTGATTTAAAAATATGTATTTTTTATTTTAAACCATGGCTGTAATTTATTAAAAGCTTATGCATTGTATAACATTTATAAGCAAAATTACTGAAGTGGTGAACTGGAAACTTTTCTGGGGTTTCAAATGATAATTAAAGTAAACTTTCAAATGGTATTTTGTTCCTTATCAAGATTATATTACCTGCTTGATTTTGATGTAATCTGAGATAGGCTAACATGTGTGTGTGAACTAGAAACGAATAAAGATTATTTTTGATCTTGCCATTTGTTGCTTTGAAAGAATGAAATTGAAAATCTGATGAACCCTGATTTTTTTGAGAGTTCTTTATCACAATGCTTATATTTGGTTCTAGGTGGATCTCATCTGAAGACACATGAGCTTTGCTCCTCAAAATCCTATTCGTTAGGAAAGATACCAAAACTGGCAGCTCTAAGGAAGTCAAACCAGGCGGGTATGAATCGCAAGTTGTCAGTTCGTGCAGAATACCAGTATGTTGTTCATTCCAACTGTTTGCAAACTTATTCTAATACATAGAAAACTGTGAAAACTTAGATAAAAGGCATGTTAATCTTTTGCCTGACTGGTTTAGTATTCAGTCATTGGATCTGTTCATTGCACTTTCCTTTTATATTTAAATTAGCAGATATGAATGAGAAAGAAATAAGCAGCTAAGAGTTCCTATCGAGCTTTCTTTTTTAACCCTTTGCTCTATATTTCTCCAATTTTATTGGATTGTCTTTTGGGATGAAAATGGTGCATAAGTTTCTGAGACTTTGCAAGCATCTAGGTGGATACGGAGAGAAGAGTTGAATTTGCTTGCTACTCCGACTGACTAAAAATATTTAAGCCCTAAGGTTTAAGATATCCTGGTTACGAAGGTTGGTTCTTTAACATCTCATGTTGGGAAAACTAAGAAGTAAATACTAGATTGTTCTTGAATGTCTTATGTTGAGTCAGACATCTCCCTGAAGCTAGCACCATTTGCACCATTTGCACCTCTTTTTTTTCATGTGGAATAAAATTTATTTGATTCATAATTGCTCCCCTATCCTTTATTGATTTAAAAGATTCTTTTGTCAAGTGGAGCAGAAGTGATGGGCTTTACTAGTGTGGAATGGATCTTATCATCATTTTGATGATTGATTGAACCTAGCTTCATTTTTATGTGATTGAGCTGATTTTTATTCTCTGGATGTTTGAACAAAACTGAAATTTTACTACAAATTTTTCCTCCGTTTTGTGCAGTGATGGAAGTAGGGGTGGTGGTGGTGATTTTGTTGCTGGTTTTCTTTTAGGAGGCGCCATATTTGGAACTTTAGCTTATGTTTTTGCTCCTCAGGTGATTAGATGTTAATTTTTGGCGTTTAAATTTTCCATCAATGAATCTAAAGGATGGAAATTCAAGTGATGTATGTGTCTGACCATTTCCTTCATTAAATGTGTTATGTTGATAGGATAACAAAAAAAAAAAAAAAAAAAATTGATGTATGTGTCTGACCATTTCCTTCATTAAATGTTTATTGTTGATAGGATAACAAAAAAAAAAAAAAAAAAAAAATTTGTGAATTGAATGCACCAATTGCGGGACTGCCTCCAACACGAGTTTTACATGCATGAATCATACAAATTGATATTTCTGTTAATGCTCTTCAAAAAATTTGGTATCGATGTTAATATTTATTTATTTTTTATTTTTTGACAATTGCTTAGCTGGACTTAGTTGTTTTCCTTCTTTAATAACGGAAGCATTGCCATTAATTGTAATTAGCCTTACATTACTGCAAACTCTTGTGCTTGTAATTTTTTTTTTTCTTAATATTCTTACTGCATCTATATGTTCATGACTCACAAAATCGGAAACTAGTCAATTGTTGATTTGCGTGTTGATAGCATGAATTCTCCATTGTTCATTCTATGATGCCAGTTGCTTACCTTACCTGTTAGCTGATAACTGACGATGGATCATAATTGATTTTGAACATGATTCCAGCACTTATTTGAGTGTTGTTCAGAGTAATGCTAGTAATAGATTTATTTTATAATCATATGTATTTGACTTGTGTAGCTCTTATTCGACCTCGATTACCAGATGTCTATCCAGGTCTGAAACTCATAAGGCAATTTAAAGGCGTTGAGGGCGTACTAAGGTGCAAAGGGGGAGTGAAGGCATTGCCTGATTGAAAGTGAGGCGCAAAAAAAATTGGAACAAAAAAATTTGTTAAAAAAGAAAATAGAACATATTAAAATCTAAATGAAGGAGTGGAGGTTGATCACAAAGCACATATCGATTGTTTTTGTGTTGCATTTTATTTTCTTTTAGTTTATTATATTTTATGTTAAGAAGATGCTACTAGGCAAACTTATAATTGAAGAAATCACTGTAGTGACTCGTTCAGAAGAAAAGGAAAAAAGAAAGGTGCGCCTTAGGGGCAAATGGTGCACGCCTCTATCAGAGCAATTAGTCTGAGTGAAGTCATTGCCTGAGGGACTTGTTGAGGCGCAAGCCCTTGAGCCTAGTTAAGGCTCGCTTAATAATCATTGCTGATACTAATGATCTATTATTGCTGAAGCGTCTTCCTATGCATGAACTAGAGAGTTTATATATTTTTTTAAGTCAACGTGATGTTTGCTTTCTTGTTGTGTCATTTCTTTGAATATTTGGCCGTCTTTCTATAGTCCTATTGAAGCGGTTTATGTTTGAAATTTTGCTGGTTTCTATTTTATATCTTGTTTTGTGTTTTTCAGATCAGAAAAGTCGCTGCTAAATGAAGATGAATATGGATTTTCGGAGGGCCCAAGCGAACGATATATTATGATGAAGTTGGAAGTAATATCGTACTATGGTTCTATTGCTCTCCATAACTCGTTGCTGCTAGTAGGGAGAATTGCTATAAAATTGGTAATTTTGAAATTATTAACTTTGCTGGCAAAGCAGAAGACAGGCGGACCTTGAAATGCAAAAATCAGCCAACTGAATTCTGCTATTTGACAATTGATCTTCACGTTGCGAGTGGCAATAATTCACCTTACCTTTCCTGTCCAGACGATCCCGAGTAGATAGCTACCATGTGAGACTTGTTTCTATCTCTTTGATTATATTCTTCGAGGCAAAATACTTTTGAAGATCAAGATATGTAACTGTGTTTTTTGACATTGAACCTGTTGGAGGTTGCATTTTGTATGTTTAAATCAAATACAAGTGTTATAGCTACATTTATATTGCAGCATTCTGCACTGGTTCTTTATGTTAACTTGATAGCTTGAGGATTTCTAGAGGCACTAATAGCCCCTATGGTTGTTTTGCTTCATTTCCTTTTCACTTGTGAAATTTTGAAGGAGAGTGATTTGCATTATAGACAAGCTTTAATACATAGTATGTCAGCAACTATTTCGGTCTCAACTTTTTCAATGTTCAATTTGTAGTATTGACTGGAAAGGTTGTTCTTGTTGAGGTTGTAGTACATGTTTGAAGATTACTGAATTCTTGACAACAACTTTCACACAATCTGGTTGCTCCAATAGTTCAAATGCCTTGTCTATATCTTGCAATGAAATTTCATGAGTCAGAAGCTCATCAAGATGAAATTCCTGCACACCAGTAGAAGAAAGTAATTACACAGTTTAGATAATACATTTCCCACGTTCTACATGTGAGTTTTCGTGCAAGTAAATAAGAGTTTAGGGCGTTACCTTATTTTGCATTTTCTGGAGGCAAAAATAGAAGATCAGATTTTTATGTGAGAGCCCTCAAAAACAGACCCCTTTGGGTTTCTGCCAGACAATAAGGGAGGAAGTCGATGTTCACACTGTTCGTGTCTGAACCCATCACTATTGCTTTTCCTCTTTCCTAATAATCAGTATCGCAAAAATTAACAAAATTAGTAAAAAGGAAAAGAAGCAAAAAATTGTCTTAGCACTTCCAATCACAAGGATTTTTTTTTTATTTTTTTTGTTTAAAAAAGAAAATTATTACCAAATTTTGTGGCTCGAAGGAGTCTTGATTGACTAAGGTGCAGAAACCAGAGCACGCAAACCAATAATCCACTCCTATTCCATCATCAGTCAAATCTTTAAGCCAGTTGTGAGGATGGGTTTGTCAAATTCATCTGGGTATTATTGAAATCAGTCATTCCCAAAAGCTTCTGCTTTTCCTTTTTCTTCCTATTCTATATCTATACCGATTATCTTCGTTTGCTCCATGCATTTTAGCTCCTCTACAGCCTGAATTTTCTTTTTCCACCACAACAATAAACAACAGTAAAGATTATGCTAATCAAGTCGTAATCTAATTAATTTCTCCTTTCTTTAAATCTGTGAAAAATGGACAAGGAAAATTGAATATACGAAAGAAACTTAATTAAGTGTAGAAGTACCATTTGAAAGTAACATACCCTAGGCCCAACAGCACCAATGGCGCAAAAAACAGCCACCACTTGACCCGTTTTTGATCTTAGCATTCCTTCAACGTAGCTCAAACCCAGTTGAAAAACCCACCAAGACATTATGCTTGCATGAGGCAGATGGTATACTTGGATCAATCTTTTGACCACAATGACTTGGAAATCAACAAACATGTTAGAGCAAGTAAACAAAGTGATAAACTTGTGCCCCTCTTAAGGACATTCTGAAGTTTACATCTGCATTAGGACCGATTGCGGCTGGAGAGTATTTTAGGGCACACATTGGTCTCCTCTGATGTGCAATTCTCACATCTTGGCATCTGCCATAAAAGTATGGGATCACAACATCTACCTTCTTCTAGCCATTTACTTTCTCCCCATATGCTCTCCACCACTCTTCCATCGGACAATTATTTCCAATTTATAATTCTTTTTATTTAACAAATTATTAATTTAATACTAATTAAGTATCACTGCTTATCCATATGTTTTACCATTCCCATACGGTCCATTTGTTATTTCTCTTGCTAAAAGGGTTATAAAATAAGTCAAAGACTTGGAAACTCTGGTCTGAAAAAAGAGTTTGTTCAAACTCATTCGATTCGAATAAAACTTAACAAGTTATATGCGATTTGCTTATTAAAAAGCTGAGTTTGAATGTGCGAAAGGGATAATTTTTCTTTTCACTATACATCGTAAAGCAAGCAAGTTATCAAAATCAAGCTTGAATTCGATTTATAACTCTGTTTGATGAGACTATATTAATCGATTCAATATGCGAAAGTGAAAAATTAACGAGGATCTGGACTACCCAACACCTTGTGTCCTAGAAACTCGAGGGAAGAGGGGCTGGAAAAGAAAAAGAAAAAGATATTAAATCCTTCGAAAGAAAAAATTGGTAAATTTAATTTAACAATTAACATAAAGGTACCCACAATGGAATCCATATGTACGGTTACATCAGATGACAAAATACAGCATTATAACCATCTTGACTCGAACTTCTGATGACTTTGGTGGGTCTATTTGATCTCTTCCACCTTCAAACCCTCCCCAATGCCCCCAAATTAACTGCAGCGTGAAGTAAAAAAACACATTAAAATCAAAAGAAACAAATCAACTATGTGTTAGAAAGCTTTAATCTAGGCAACAAGGATACGAGTATAATTGAATACCATTGCAGTGTTATGACTCTGTGGGTATGATTTTTGACATTACTGAGGAAATTTTTGTGTTCAAACAAGGTTTGATGATGGTTTTTGTTGATTTAGATTTCCTCGTAAATAGAATTTTGCAAACAATTGTCGCTCTGTCCTAATTTTCCTTAATGCTGGAGGACAGAAAACGTTAAAAAAGGGAGTGGGACAACGGACAAAGTTGTCAGCGAAGTTTGGTTAAGTGACACGGGTATCAAAATCAACATAAAAAAAATAAAACACCGCTCTGGACGCCTCGTGAGCCGGGCTTTCTAGAGATGAGGGCCTTCAAAAGAGCTGTATTGGGGCCCTGACTGACCCTTTAATATCAATTACTGAGAAAGGGAGACTTAAGGCGGCTGTTTATTTTAATTTATTAATTGGATGAGAAAAATTATTGACCTCCTGACTTCTTCAATTAGATAATAAAAAAATAAATTTATGTATTGGGCAAAGCTAATATGTTTTTTTATCTGAATTTCACAAGTTAAATTTTTTCTAAAGGAAAAAATTATGTATAAAGTTGATTTAATAAACCATGGACATTATTAAATTAAAAAGTTAAAAGCCATATATAATTATTAAATAGACACTATATGTCACTTCTTAATAATTAAACAATTATTTTCATGATATTTCACTTCTTCATCATTTAATTTACGTGAAACAGTTGATTTTAGATTAATAGATTCTACATTTAGAATTCCAATAAAACCGTGTTCTTAAATAATAACTACAGGTTTCAAATTCAATTTCTTTGTTATGTAATGATTTCGATGATAAAGATCTATGTAATTGATTTGAATATAATTTATTTCTATCATTTGCGTACTGTAATAATTTTAATAGATTTAATAATAGATAAAAAATTGTACTGTTTTAATGGGAATTAAAATTATTGTAATCTGCTGTTAACAGTTTTAGAGTTTATAATAATCAAGTCAATTGAAAATACCTTATATTTATAAAAAGTTTAAAATTATAATTAACTAGTCATGGTTGCGAGCAATTGATTGATGTGCTTACATCAATAATAGTTTCAATAAAGAACCTTTGTTCTTATTGGAATAAAAAAGACAAATACATATATAATGTTTGCTCCATGTCGCCACAGATTATGGGATCTTGGACAAGAAGCTTACACAGTCAGGTTTCTTCATTATTGAAAGGCTTACTTATATCTTGCCCCGAGGAATGAAGCTATTTTCTTATCATCGGTGTGCAAAAGTTCATCAAGATGGAGCTTTCCTGCACAGAAAGAAACAGAACCATAAAGCTAACAACTTTCCATCTTTTAACAAGAAAAATTTTCTCCTAAACATCATATAATCGAAACCTGAAAGAAAAAATAGTTAAAAAATTTACTTAATTGTTAATCAGAATTGCCATAAGTGTGTTTTTTTCTTTGTGGATTAAGGTAATTAAAACTTACCTTTTTTACTGCATTGTCTCAAGTAGATAGGTAAGTCAGACTTAATTCTTGATGGCCGACCCAAAAACACAACCTTTCAGAGGATCCACCAAGCAATAGAGGATAGGAATTGATCTGCACAGTTGCATCAATTGTTGCACCCACTACTATTGTTTCTCCTGTTC